AGGATTAATAAATAAAGCTTAGGGACAATCTATGGGTTACCAGAAAGGGGTCCCTATCCAAACCCCCAGAAAGTGTTCTTGGATCTTGTGCAAGAAAGAATTCAGGGCAAGTCTTGGGATCAGCTACAGATGGCTTAACCCACCCACCACAGACTTTCTAGGTATCTTTCATGACCCCTAAGGTAGTATATTGCATCGTTTGGTCCCAGTTCATCCCCTTTGCCAGCACCCAATGCCTGTTGCCACCAAGAATGGGGTGACCTGCTTCACCCGTTCACCCTGGGGTTGGCCATGTGACTTGCTGTAGTCCATGAGATACTAGCAAACATGACCCAAGAAGAGGCTTGAGAAAGCACACAGGTATTTCCTCTTGTTCTCCTGTGCCTCTGACATCCCCATGAAAAGGACAAGCCTAAGCTGGCCCTCAAAAGCAGTGCTGTCCAACAGAATTTTTAGCAAACATTTAGAAATGTTCTATAGGACCATCGTCCAATACGACAACTAGCCCCAGGAGGGTATTGAGCACTTGGAATACGGCTCGTGTGACTGAAAGCCTGAAATTTTCACAGTGTTTAGTTGTAAAAAATATAAATTTAGATACCTACATAGGGCTAGTGGCTATCATATTAGCCAAAATGGGCTTGGAGGATGAAAGACCTGTGGAGCAGAGCAAAATCATCCCAAATACCTGGTCAAAGCCACCCTAGATCAGCCCACTACCAGCTGATTGCAGACATGTGAGCAATAAACGCTTAATATTACATGCCACGGGTTTTTGAGGTTGGTTTCTTTAAAACAAATTTTTTTATAGAGAGAGGGTCTCACTGTGTCACCAAGGCTGGTCTCGAACTCCTGGTCTCAAGCAGTCCTCCCACCTTGGCCTCCCAAAGTGCTGGGATTATAGGTGTGAGCCACTGCACCCTGTCAAGGCTGTTTGTTACACAGCTAAAGCTAACTGATGCATCCTATCTTCTGCCCTCCCCCCCACCGACCTATCCAGACAGAAACCTCCTATTCCAATACAAATACCTGCTTTCTTCACATCATACTCATCGTTTTTCCAGTATATGGCAGACTTCTCCCCATCCTCATGCATTTGCTCCTGCAATACATCTGGAATGGCCTCTCCATTTCCTGTCCACCTCCTCCAATTGGACCTGTCTTTGAAATCTTAAATGTCACCTCCTCCGTGAAGCCTTCCCTCACTACTCCAACTCATAGCAATGGGTTTGATGCTTGAAAGCACTATGAGTCAGACACAGACTTGGATTGCCATTCAAGTTTTGACATTTAACTGGTCGCATGCCCTTGGGTATCACTAATATTGATACTATTATTGTTTCTTCATCTGAAGAAAGAGAGGATTGTTTCGAGGATTAAATCATATAAAACTAGCAAGTCTCTAACATATAGAGATATACACAACCAACAAGTGTTTTCTTTCTTGGTGGGTGTCTCTTCCATTTTCCTAATGCCTAGAATGGTGAAGACCATCCATTGGTGCCTACACTTCGTATCAATTCACCTTCTTCCATCAATGTGCCAAGAGCATCTGCACAGCTGTAGATAGGGGTGGACACTGCGATGTGTCACCGGATCCCTCTTCAGTTCCTGGAAATGTGTCCCTCCACTGTCAACCCTCTTTGAGGGTTGCTTCCAGGGAAAAAACTGCCTCACCCCAGGGTACACCTCCATCCAGGATAGCTCTTATCCACTGACTCCCTGACTCACTGATCCATGCAAGGGCACAGGGACCAAGTCCTCTCAAGGCTTGAGACGACTCTGAAAGGCTGTCCCAGCTTCTAAGCTCCCCCAGGGGCTGGCGGAGACCTTTGCTGGGACTGCCTTGCTGCTCTCAGCTTCTCCCTCTGCTCAGTCCTTCCTCATTTCCCACCCTCCCACGGGTGTGGACCTGAGGAGCACCCTAATGAAATAACCTGTCTCCCAATCTCCAGCATAGTCAAAGTCAGCTTCCTGGGAACCCTACAGACAGGACAGATAGGAGACGCGGAGACCCTCGGGATCCATTCTCATGGAAATGCCAATCAAACCCAAATAGGAAAGTCTTTGACAGGAATTGTTTTGTAGGAATATATTTTCCAGACCTTTAGAATGTAATGCAGTTAGTCTGATGTCACAAGTAAAGGAGGATAAGCAGGTCCCAATTTAACAAAAGTGTTCTTGGCCATGCCTGTAATCCTTTAATCCTGGCACTTTGGGAGCCCTAGGCAGGTGGATCACCTGAGGACAGAAGTTTGAGACCAGCCTGGCCACAGATGGTGAAACCCCATCTTTACTAAAAATACAAAAATAGGGCCGGGCGCGGTGGCTCAAGCCTGTAATCCCAGCACTTTGGGAGGCTGAGGCGGGTGGATCACAAGGTCAAGAGATCGAGACCATCCTGGTCAACATGGTGAAACCCCGTC